TTCTATCATGACATTACCATTTAACAAATCTAGATTCATTTTTTATCAAAGATTAATATGCAAGGCGGCTTTTAGTTTTAACAACCAGGGTTAAGCCAAGGAAGGATTAGTTTTCTTTTAAAATAATGTATACCTGATTTTTAGAGCTACAACTGCAGCCAAGACTGAAAAATCAAGACGATTGACTCCGCGCAAATTTCTGGGCCAGAAATAGATCATCTTCATATTGGAGATCACCCTCCTTAAAAATAGGTGGCGTTTAGAAATCTATTAAGAATTTATAAGCTATCTTAATAATATTCCAGTATACGTGCGGAATGAGTTGCATGAGTACCACTTGTCGAAAAGTGATTGATACTATATAAAGTGGTTTTGTAAAATATACAAACAAACATAAACACAAATTCAGTGGATAAAGTGCGTGGCTGGTATTAATTGACGTTGAATGATCCATGTTTACGTTGTCTATGGAATGGTGGTATCTTGAAAATACCAACACGTTTTGGATGTAAAATCAACTGGTGTCCTTAACAGTGAACAATTCTTTTTAAATTTTTTACGGAAATTACCAGTAAGTGAAGAAAAAATAAAACATTGTAACCCAAATATCAACGACCGTCCTTCAACCGGCGAAGTATTCTTTCTCTCTTAGTAGGGGTGAGCGATAGAAGGGTGATAGAGTGTAGCGTAACCTAAGTCTACAGGGTCGATTCACTTTACCGTCTGTACGCGACAATTTCACGTAACGTACTTAAATAAGAGTTTATTTGACACGGTATTGTGTCTCGAATTGATTTGGACAGTTCACATATTAACGTAATTAGGTTATCCTATTTGGGCCATTCTTACACCTCGCCCACTCCCCACTACGTTATTCAATTTTACGGATAGTATAGCAATTGTGACTAATAACACTAGCGTAATCTAAATCATTATGATGAATTAAACCGCCCCCCCGCCCTCCCCATCGCTGATCGGCACGTCCCGGGAGCGCGTAAAATATAAGAAAAATATGCTGAAGTGAGTGTGTTTTATATAAAACATTCGGATACATTTGATATTTGAATTTGTGCTTGACTATACAATTATGGCATGACTAGAGCCGCCGCGCACGTGCCAGCTACCACACATTTGAAACTTCCTAACAAAAACACTAATTACAGTGGAATGTGTAATGTCCCAATGGGAGGCGTGTGTACAGTGCTTGAGTGTAGCCGTGTGTACGGAGGGCGCGTAATTGACATCTAAGAAATATACTAGCCCAAAATTATGGAAAAAAACCCCCCTTTTTTTTTTATTTATTAAAATGAAATAACTCTAATAGATTTCAATATATTTGCAAAGAACTTTTTTGGAATCCGATAAAATTCATTTTCACAGCCATATTGTGCCGGCAAAAATTGTAGATGCTAGGCCTCCAAGGCGATATGGTCAAAATCGGAAAAAAATCCTATATTTAAATATACTTTAATATGGTAGCCCCCCCCCCCCCCCCCCCCCCCCCCCCCCCCCCATATTTGAGTGACACACTAACTATGCAGTTTACCTGTTTAGAGGGTTTTCAAAGAAACGTTTTTAGTTCCCAAATCCGTCTCAAATACCAAAAGCAAAACTACCAGTACCATTAGCTTTAAACCTGGGATATCATAATTTTACAACATAATAACATAAATATCGAGTAGTGGAGGCCGGAGGGTTAAGGATGGTAGTAAACTAAAAGTATAAACAGCTAGGCTGTAATAATATCCACGAGTGCAGAAATATCGTCTAATCAGCTAGTAAAAGTTTGGTAACTTATCGACTATCGAGTAATCGCACGGAACGACAGTTTCCGTTATCTCACCAAAAACTTCAGACAGCTTTTTTCTCATCGTTCAGATTCACCTTATTCCATACTAATGACCCTCCTGCTATCTATATCGTTCCTCTTCGGCTTCTGTCTTACTGCTCTCCGCTCCGCGCCATCTGTAAATGGGGGGTTTGTAAAAAGATAAAAAATGTAGTATACATTTTTCTCCAGCGCAATCAGAATGAAATCAAACGGTTTTTTCCTTTCCAACTGATCGCCTTGTTCAGGTCGACGATAACTTCATATTTTAATCGTTGTCTTATATTCACTAAAGAAGACTATTGGGACACTTGCTGTAGGTTTTTCGACTTCATTTGGCTAAAATTCGCCTTTTTGCCCAATTCTTGTCATATATCCTTATTGTCAAAGTTGATTTAAATAGGCCAATTTTTAATTTCTTAGGTATTGACTATCTCTACATAATGAAATAGGACTCAAAGTAAAAGTAGCAGTTAAATTAAAACTTGAATTAATTAAAACTGTCAATAACATGAATCAGTTTCATCAGTCATTTATTCATAATTCTAAACAATGTGAACGATGCATTCTTTCGAAGATTTTCTACAAATTGGGTCATAATGGTTATTTGATACACGTAAACATTTAATGCTAATTCAAAACAACGAATTTGCTAGAGTGCTAGACTACCAAAAATATTCCAAGTGGTGGGTTGGAAATCAAGTTATAGGCAACGTTCAAAGCTGTCGCACCTTTAGCTGACAAAATGAAGGTACTCCTAAGAGCGGCATATGATTACGAGTTCCAGGCTCAGAAAAGGGGGGATGATGAAAGGGATGATCCAGATGAAGATAACGAAGATGATTACAACTTATTGGAAGACTAAACAGCTCTCCCTTTATCTTAATATCGATCTGGTTGTTACGCTTCTAATGTTAAAAATTATTTTCCATCTAGTTTGATTAACCACGAGTCATTATTTCTGTCTACTTTCAACAATTATTGATAATTCGACTTGTTTCACAAGTTTTAGGGTGGTCGGGGGGCACGTGCACAGGGTTGTCAGGGTCACGTGCACAGGGTGGTCGGGGTCACGTGCACGTGTACTCTGCCGTGTGACAATAAATTGGATCACGAGGCAAATTTGTCATAAAATTTGTGTAAGCAGTCGACACTTGCTTCCCGGTTCGAAGTTTATTTGCATTTAATTAAGGGTTTGGACAATGGAAACAAGCGTGATAATAAAGGGTAAACAAAGTTAAACTATGAAACAATACAATGAATAATTCGACAACCTCTACTTCAAATCCTAATTAACCAGACTCGTATGGTCCCCATTGCCGCTTGGTGGCAATGGGGACCATACGAGTCGACACTTGCTTCCCGGTTCGAAGTTTATTTGCATTTAATTAAGGGTTTGGACAATGGAAACAAGCGTGATAATAAAGGGTAAACAAAGTTAAACTATGAAACAATACAATGAATAATTCGACAACCTCTACTTCAAATCCTAATTAACCAGACTCGTATCGCCCATAAACGCTCAGCGATCTAGTGCTGCAACATAAAACACGGGTAGCACGGTCAACTCGCCTTGACCGTGCCTAATCTAGGTGCCCTGAAATAACCACTGTCGATTCTAAACCTCTAACGACACGTTCCATCCGTGCTCACCAGGCCCCAACCATAACTGGTCCTGGTCCCTTACACTAGTCTGGTATCAACCATGACCCTCTATCGAATAGGGTGAGAATGCAAACAAGGGGTATAATAAAGGTGCCCAAGGTACTTAACTGAACAATGAATAATCGAATATTTGCTCAACCAACGCTTAGTCACTTAGACTCATATTGCCTCAAATGCTGTGCAACAAATTCCTAATTGCTCCGATTCATACTGCCTCAAATATTACGCAACCTACTTCCTGCCGTTAATCCTACTCTTAATCTAGCTTTACCTATCTGAGTCAACCATTGCTGACTCTCGCTCTGCCAGAGCCCAGTGTTGTCAAGACATCCCCTGGTGTCGGCCACAACCAAGCCTGATAACAGTAATTACGTAATGCTCCACTATTCTACGGCCGCCAATCTTATACTTACCACTATAACCATCTGCCTAACTAAACGACCTAACCTTAACCGGTTCTAGCTCCTACTCTTAGTCTAGCTTTACCTATCTAAGTCAACCAGCGCTGACTCCCGCTCTGCCAGAGCCCAGTGTTGTCAAGACATCCCCTGGTGTCGGCCACAACCAAGCCTGATAACAGTAATTACGTAATGCTCCACTATTCTACGGCCGCCAATCTTATACTTACCACCATAACCATCTACCTAACTAAACGACCTAACCTTAACCGGTTCTAGCTCCTACTCTTAGTCTAGCTTTACCTATCTAAGTCAACCAGCGCTGACTCCCGCTCTGCCAGAGCCCAGTGTTGTCAAGACATCCCCTGGTGTCGGCCACAACCAAGCCTGATAACAGTAATTACGTAATGCTCCACTATTCTACGGCCGCCAATCTTATACTTACCACTATAACCATCTACCTAACTGAACGACCTAACCTTAACAGGTTCTAGCTACAGAACCTGCCCGGTATCAAAATGACCCCCCTCTCAATCGGGTAAACTGGCACTCCCGATCTCAAAAGGCTAATCGTATTTTCCTCTCGCCCCTGATAGTCTAAACAATCTACCATTTCCCGGGAATTGCAAACTGTCCTGTCGATAGCCACAACATAGTACCACTAGTATTCTGTAAACACTCCATAATTCAACCTCGTACTGACCCAAACATATGTTAAACTGACCTCTCTGCACTTAAACTGCAATAACTGTCGTATACTAATATATGCCCAAAATACTACCGTCACATACTGGACCCCACGACCGCCTTATTATAATCATTACACTATCTACATATTACACAATATTACCCTAAATTCATCTCAATTAATCACTGCTTACACAACTTTACAAAATATGTTCTTTCTTAGAACCTTACTATACTGGTACAATAATTTAATGGAAAATCTCTTACTATAGACCATATCTCTTGCCCGGTCACGGCTTACACAACTTTACAAAATATGTTCTTTCTTAGAACCTTACTATACTGGTACAATAATTTAATGGAAAATCTCTTACTATAGACCCTATCTCTTGCCCGATCACAGCTTACACAACTTTACAAAATATGTTCTTTCTTAGAACCCTACTATACTGGTACAATAATTTAATAAAGTTTCACAATATCCAAACTTAACGGCTTACTTTATCTGTCCATTTTCTCTTTCGTCTCTTCTTATCCCCGTCTCATTCTTCGTTGCGAACATCCTCATCTGGATCCGGTCCCGAGTCTCCGTTCGTTGTTCAACATATCTTCTTCTGGCTCTCGCTCCAGGTCTCCGCTCCTCGTTCTGAATATTTTCCTCTGGATCCCGTTCCACGTCTCTTGTCTCCTTCCAGATATCTTCTTCTGGATCTCGTTCCATGTCTCTTTTCTCCTTCCAGATATCTTCTTTTGGATCTCGTTTCATGTCTCTTTTCTCCTTCCAGATATCTTCTTCTGGATCTCGTTCGATGTCTCTGTTCAGAATACAAGTTGATGTACTACGCATCTCAATCCGTGGGTTTAGTGTCACTGTCTCTCTTGTACTCCAGGTATGTTAACCATCTTCTCCTCACCGCCCCTGTTGGGTGATACTCTCCGATAGTTATTTATTAAGACTTTGTTTTAATTTTCATTTCAATATCGACAGTTCTTTCAGTTCCAAGTAATTTCTGATTTATCTGATTTTTTGTGATCAATGATATTGCACTGTTATTTCGATATAACTACTGTTATATAAATCTTATGACTCATTCTGACTGTTATATAAATTTTGTGACTCATCCTGACTCTGTATCTCCTTCCAGCATATCCGCATTCTCCCGTAACTCGTCCCCGACCGGTCTATGTCTCCATTTATCAGCTCTCGTCTCCGTCCACTCTGTGTCTCCACTTATCAGCTCTCGTCTCCGACCACTCTGTGTCTCCATTTATCAGCTCTTGTCTCCGACCACTCCGTGTCTCCATTTATCAGCTCTATGTGTCTCCGTTTATCCGCTCTCGTCTCCGACCACTCTGTGTCTCCATTTATCAGCTCTCGTCTCCGACTACTCTGCGTCTCCATTTATCAGCCTTCGTCTCCGACCCGTCTATGTCTCCATTTATCAGCTCACGTCTCCGACTCGTCTGTGTTTCCATTTATCCGCTCTCTGTGTCTCCATTTATCAGCTCTCGTCTCCGACCGCTCTGTGTCTCTATTTATCAGCCTTCGTCTCTGTCTACTCTGTGTCTCTTTTGATCTGTTTGGAGAGGCGAATCATACACAGTTTAGGCTCTTGAAATCTTCGAATTAAAAATCATCTTGAGAGAACCTCCTCAAATTATTTGTTATATAGTAGTGTTGAAAGTAAGACTGGTCTCCATTTATCAGCCTTCGTCTCTTAACCCTTTTGTGTCTCCATTTATCAGTACTTGTCTCCGATCGTACTGTGTCTCCCTTTATCATCACTTGTCTCCGATCGCTCTGTGACCCCATTTATTAGCTCTCGTCTCCGATCACTCTATGTCTCCATTATCAGCTCACGTCTTACTGAAGGTGATTCCCTGACCATCTGTATATAACGTAAACTTTTTGCCGTATAGATAGTATCTCAACCTAGTGATCGCCACATCTGCTGCATAAAACTCATCGCAAAATGAAGGCCCTAGAAGCTGGGACTGACCAGCTCATGGTTAAAACTGGATTCTGAAAATCTAATGTGGCCCCGTTCTCCGTCAAAAAAATCGCTTCCAATTATGTCCTCTAGAATATGGGCTACAACCAATGTTACCCCCATTTTTCTACCTCCTACGCCGACCTTATCGTGCACCTCTCCTTGCACGTATATAGGCGTACCCCCGGCGGCCTTTAACTTCACCACGGTCTCTTTTACTGTCAGAACACCCTGTAACTTATCCATCAAACTCTTAGATATGATGCTATGCATAGATCCACTATCCACCAGTGCAAAAACCTCCCTATTTGCGATTGTCACGGGCAAATACAGATATCCAGCACTGACATTGACCAATGCCCACTCTACACTCTGGCCCCCCTCTGTCTGGTCGTACTCCTCTTTCTGGCTCTCCTCCTTCTGCTCCACTACATCAGAATCCCTATTATCTGCCTCGGCTTGTTTTTTGTTTACCAGGTAACGCTTCTAAAAGGGACTCTTCTATTTCAGGAAGGACTCTCGCTAACCCCCATGCCAGCTGGTACACCTCTTTTCCTCTTTCTGGCTCTCCTCTTTCTGCTTTACTACATTAGAACCCCTCTTCTCCTCCTCGGCTCGCTCTTGTTTATCAGGTACCGCTTCTAAATGGGACTCCTCTCTTCCCATCATCTTTCCCCAGGATTCAGGAAGGACTCTCGCTATGGTCTTCCTCCTTGGAGAGGGTCCACTACCTTCAGGAGCGTGTATTAGTTTAAAGAACTGTTATTATAAGGGCTGGCATTAAAGTTGTTCAACAACGAACGGAGACTCGGGACCGGATCCAGATGAGGATGTTCGCAACGAAGAATGAGACGGGGATAAGAAGAGACGAAAGAGAAAATGGACAGATAAAGTAAGCCGTTAAGTTTGGATATTGTGAAACTTTATTAAATTATTGTACCAGTATAGTAGGGTTCTAAGAAAGAACATATTTTGTAAAGTTGTGTAAGCTGTGATCGGGCAAGAGATAGGGTCTATAGTAAGAGATTTTCCATTAAATTATTGTACCAGTATAGTAAGGTTCTAAGAAAGAACATATTTTGTAAAGTTGTGTAAGCCGTGACCGGGCAAGAGATATGGTCTATAGTAAGAGATTTTCCATTAAATTATTGTACCAGTATAGTAAGGTTCTAAGAAAGAACATATTTTGTAAAGTTGTGTAAGCAGTGATTAATTGAGATGAATTTAGGGTAATATTGTGTAATATGTAGATAGTGTAATGATTATAATAAGGCGGTCGTGGGGTCCAGTATGTGACGGTAGTATTTTGGGCATATATTAGTATACGACAGTTATTGCAGTTTAAGTGCAGAGAGGTCAGTTTAACATATGTTTGGGTCAGTACGAGGTTGAATTATGGAGTGTTTACAGAATACTAGTGGTACTATGTTGTGGCTATCGACAGGACAGTTTGCAATTCCCGGGAAATGGTAGATTGTTTAGACTATCAGGGGCGAGAGGAAAATACGATTAGCCTTTTGAGATCGGGAGTGCCAGTTTACCCGATTGAGAGGGGGGTCATTTTGATACCGGGCAGGTTCTGTAGCTAGAACCTGTTAAGGTTAGGTCGTTCAGTTAGGTAGATGGTTATAGTGGTAAGTATAAGATTGGCGGCCGTAGAATAGTGGAGCATTACGTAATTACTGTTATCAGGCTTGGTTGTGGCCGACACCAGGGGATGTCTTGACAACACTGGGCTCTGGCAGAGCGGGAGTCAGCGCTGGTTGACTTAGATAGGTAAAGCTAGACTAAGAGTAGGAGCTAGAACCGGTTAAGGTTAGGTCGTTTAGTTAGGTAGATGGTTATGGTGGTAAGTATAAGATTGGCGGCCGTAGAATAGTGGAGCATTACGTAATTACTGTTATCAGGCTTGGTTGTGGCCGACACCAGGGGATGTCTTGACAACACTGGGCTCTGGCAGAGCGGGCCGTAGAATAGTGGAGCATTACGTAATTACTGTTATCAGGCTTGGTTGTGGCCGACACCAGGGGATGTCTTGACAACACTGGGCTCTGGCAGAGCGAGAGTCAGCAATGGTTGACTCAGATAGGTAAAGCTAGATTAAGAGTAGGATTAACGGCAGGAAGTAGGTTGCGTAATATTTGAGGCAGTATGAATCGGAGCAATTAGGAATTTGTTGCACAGCATTTGAGGCAATATGAGTCTAAGTGACTAAGCGTTGGTTGAGCAAATATTCGATTATTCATTGTTCAGTTAAGTACCTTGGGCACCTTTATTATACCCCTTGTTTGCATTCTCACCCTATTCGATAGAGGGTCATGGTTGATACCAGACTAGTGTAAGGGACCAGGACCAGTTATGGTTGGGGCCTGGTGAGCACGGATGGAACGTGTCGTTAGAGGTTTAGAATCGACAGTGGTTATTTCAGGGCACCTAGATTAGGCACGGTCAAGGCGAGTTGACCGTGCTACCCGTGTTTTATGTTGCAGCACTAGATCGCTGAGCGTTTATGGGCGATACGAGTCTGGTTAATTAGGATTTGAAGTAGAGGTTGTCGAATTATTCATTGTATTGTTTCATAGTTTAACTTTGTTTACCCTTTATTATCACGCTTGTTTCCATTGTCCAAACCCTTAATTAAATGCAAATAAACTTCGAACCGGGAAGCAAGTGTCGACTCGTATGGTCCCCATTGCCACCAAGCGGCAATGGGGACCATACGAGTCTGGTTAATTAGGATTTGAAGTAGAGGTTGTCGAATTATTCATTGTATTGTTTCATAGTTTAACTTTGTTTACCCTTTATTATCACGCTTGTTTCCATTGTCCAAACCCTTAATTAAATGCAAATAAACTTCGAACCGGGAAGCAAGTGTCGACTGCTTACAATGGCGCGAACGGTAGGATCCTATTTTATTATAGGATAGTTTGATTTGCATTTAATTAAGGGTTTGGACAATGGAAACAAGCGTGATAATAAAGGGTAAACAAAGTTAAACTATGAAACAATACAATGAATAATTCGACAACCTCTACTTCAAATCCTAATTAACCAGACTCGTATGGTCCCCATTGCCGCTTGGTGGCAATGGGGACCATACGAGTCGACACTTGCTTCCCGGTTCGAAGTTTATTTGCATTTAATTAAGGGTTTGGACAATGGAAACAAGCGTGATAATAAAGGGTAAACAAAGTTAAACTATGAAACAATACAATGAATAATTCGACAACCTCTACTTCAAATCCTAATTAACCAGACTCGTATCGCCCATAAACGCTCAGCGATCTAGTGCTGCAACATAAAACACGGGTAGCACGGTCAACTCGCCTTGACCGTGCCTAATCTAGGTGCCCTGAAATAACCACTGTCGATTCTAAACCTCTAACGACACGTTCCATCCGTGCTCACCAGGCCCCAACCATAACTGGTCCTGGTCCCTTACACTAGTCTGGTATCAACCATGACCCTCTATCGAATAGGGTGAGAATGCAAACAAGGGGTATAATAAAGGTGCCCAAGGTACTTAACTGAACAATGAATAATCGAATATTTGCTCAACCAACGCTTAGTCACTTAGACTCATATTGCCTCAAATGCTGTGCAACAAATTCCTAATTGCTCCGATTCATACTGCCTCAAATATTACGCAACCTACTTCCTGCCGTTAATCCTACTCTTAATCTAGCTTTACCTATCTGAGTCAACCATTGCTGACTCTCGCTCTGCCAGAGCCCAGTGTTGTCAAGACATCCCCTGGTGTCGGCCACAACCAAGCCTGATAACAGTAATTACGTAATGCTCCACTATTCTACGGCCGCCAATCTTATACTTACCACTATAACCATCTGCCTAACTAAACGACCTAACCTTAACCGGTTCTAGCTCCTACTCTTAGTCTAGCTTTACCTATCTAAGTCAACCAGCGCTGACTCCCGCTCTGCCAGAGCCCAGTGTTGTCAAGACATCCCCTGGTGTCGGCCACAACCAAGCCTGATAACAGTAATTACGTAATGCTCCACTATTCTACGGCCGCCAATCTTATACTTACCACCATAACCATCTACCTAACTAAACGACCTAACCTTAACCGGTTCTAGCTCCTACTCTTAGTCTAGCTTTACCTATCTAAGTCAACCAGCGCTGACTCCCGCTCTGCCAGAGCCCAGTGTTGTCAAGACATCCCCTGGTGTCGGCCACAACCAAGCCTGATAACAGTAATTACGTAATGCTCCACTATTCTACGGCCGCCAATCTTATACTTACCACTATAACCATCTACCTAACTGAACGACCTAACCTTAACAGGTTCTAGCTACAGAACCTGCCCGGTATCAAAATGACCCCCCTCTCAATCGGGTAAACTGGCACTCCCGATCTCAAAAGGCTAATCGTATTTTCCTCTCGCCCCTGATAGTCTAAACAATCTACCATTTCCCGGGAATTGCAAACTGTCCTGTCGATAGCCACAACATAGTACCACTAGTATTCTGTAAACACTCCATAATTCAACCTCGTACTGACCCAAACATATGTTAAACTGACCTCTCTGCACTTAAACTGCAATAACTGTCGTATACTAATATATGCCCAAAATACTACCGTCACATACTGGACCCCACGACCGCCTTATTATAATCATTACACTATCTACATATTACACAATATTACCCTAAATTCATCTCAATTAATCACTGCTTACACAACTTTACAAAATATGTTCTTTCTTAGAACCTTACTATACTGGTACAATAATTTAATGGAAAATCTCTTACTATAGACCATATCTCTTGCCCGGTCACGGCTTACACAACTTTACAAAATATGTTCTTTCTTAGAACCTTACTATACTGGTACAATAATTTAATGGAAAATCTCTTACTATAGACCCTATCTCTTGCCCGATCACAGCTTACACGTTGTATGACCTGCCGCGCACGAGTGCGTGGCTCCCCCTGTATCGCGGCTCCTCCTGTATCTTCAGGACTATACTGAAACGACCGTGGGGGTCACAACGTGATACAAAGGCAAATCAGAACAATCGTGATACAGCAACCCTGCAAGACAATTTTCAGTTTCCACCTGATCATCCCACGAAATATCCACATTGAACATCACAGCAAGTAAATCTACTAAATTATGACCAACAAAACTAATCATTACATTCATCCAGAGAACCAACCAGGGGAAACCTTCATACTCATACTCAACTTCTTCAACGGCGACAATATCATATCAAACATCTATTGCAGCCAATGCAACTAAGAAGCCGACGATTAGAGTTATTGCTATCATCAGAGCTGAAGCATATGCTAAAACCCTATACTAACCCTAACGAGAAATTCGACCAACTTCCTTATACGGTCATATCACGTGATCAAATTCAAAACAGTTTTTTCGCCAATTTCTCGGCAGGCCGGGGAGCATTTTAACCCTATGTCATGGGGAGTGATTCTGAATCAGCGTCCGAAAATACATCGAATCAAGCTGGTTTCAACTGTCGGGGGGCCTTTTAGAACAAGAATTTCGCTGCGGTTAAACCACGCTCGATCAATTTTCCCTACTATGTAGTACTTTCGAGAAGAAAGCAGCGCGCTACTTCGAAGAAATTTAGACGAGTAACATATATAGCCCCCTTGAACTAACATCTGTCAAGGCATTAATTCATTTGAGTGAAAAGTGTGACTGGAAAAAAGTGCACCATGGCCATAATTACATACTATGTTTTTTATAAATGAGTGGGATTCGTGCAAGGTAAAAATTGACGATTTATCTGACCAATGCAGCGCCGCGCATCAACAATAAATGAATCCAGAAAATTACGGAAAATAACTTTGCGAAGGAGGAATTTCACTGTAATTAATTAACACATGGCTAGCGTCGCGCGCAGCATAACAGACACTTCCTATACACTTAATTATAGGGGAGTGGTCTATATTGCGAAGGAGCAGACTTTTGTCGTCACCGCAGGTCCATCCGGCCACCTCATATAACCAAACCCGATTACTTATTCCCTACGATCTTTTTGCCTTCGGCAAGAGTAGGGAAAAAATGAACACGAATATTTTTCGATTTGACAAATTCCTCGAACCAGTGGTGGTAATAAGTCATACCAGAAAGAATTATTTAAATTGGGCACTCAGTGACTGAGCTATATTAAGGCCAACGTATGGGTACTGACTTTTGCCCCCCCCCCCCCAGCCCCCCTGTATTTTTGAAATTTCTGAAAATTTACTAATTATTTAATTGATTAATTAAATAATTTATCTATTAAGAAGTTGTTTAAGAGAAAGTTGTTCTTCTTTGTTTTCTAAACACACTGCTTTAAACTAAAATCTTCTAAGATATTCAGAAGTTGACTTATTTGCGAAAAACCAATGTGGTAAAAAGGTGGTAAAAATTGGTAATTGTGGATTTTTCTGACGTCAGAAATTTGGGAACTCTATGGAATGATTCCTGCGACCTTTCCCGACCATTTCCCGTTGAAATCGCTTTGTTGCGAATTATGTTCGACAAAGGCTTACTTTGGGACGTATTTGACTGTACTATAATTTCATTTAAAATGACTTGTAACCTGGTTTGTAACCTGGCTTCATAATAATAATACGTCATATACTGGGCAGGGCAGGTATGTTTGGTGTATTGGTAGATTGGTTTGAGTGGGTGCCTGACATGCCATGGCTTGATATTCCATATTGTATTCTCATGGCTGTGTTTCTTCGAGAGCACAAAGGTTTGAAGCACACTTTTTAATCACAATCCTTTAATCTTCTCTTCTGAGTTTTATTATCTGCATTCTTGCAATACCATCATACAAAATCTCTTTTTTTACTGAACAATTTAAAGACTGAACTAAATCTATCCCAGGGAGCATAAAGTTTGCAGTAAACCACCCCATTGCATCCCTTGTGATCCTCATCCTCTACGTACAAGCTAATGTTATCTGTGTTCACCTCCTGCTGGGTCTGCCTCTTGTCGGGTGTCTTAACAACGCCTGGGACTCTCTAACTGCTGCTCTTTGTTGGTCAGATTCTTTACATTTTTTACATTTTTTAATAACATTTATTTCGTTATTTGAAAAATACCTTATGTCGTAACTTATAATCCATCAAACTGAATTTCAATCTCAAGCTATGTATTTTTATCGAGTCAAATCCCAGGTGGGGAGTGTTCTTCTGCCCTGGAGATTTGTTCTACAAAGCTGTTCAGCTTAAACCAATCCAGGTTAGTTTATCAAACTTCCGGTTATTCATCCGTGTGTAAAACACTTTTCGTCGAGAACCTTCCCCGGTGTTAAGTAATTTCCTTATCTTAATTACGTTTCAGTTAGCGATAGCCGTCATCTGTGAAGCTAGGCACGCGAGGCTCGTCATGCATTCTTGTCAGGAAGGAAACCAATACTTTCCTCAACACACCACTATCATAATCCTTTGTGGAGTTGTTGACGGTAATTAATTAACACTACAATCTAGATTGAACATTAATGTGATCAATCGAGTTTTTCCAGAAGTTTGTTTGAAGCGTATTCGTCGGGCGCGACCGCCGAACGAATATTTCATATAAAAGTTCGCGCATCTTGTCTGATCTTCGGGGCGCGGCCGGGGGGGGGGGGGGCAATACAAGCTAACTTAAATCAATGCACGAAGCGTGATCGATTTATGCGATCAAATTCGAAGTGCCAGTTCATATTTCAGCCAGTGGCGTAACGGATCGCCCCGCGGATGATGATTAATCACTCTACTTCATTCGTGCTTCAGAAGAGACTGGCAGGCCCATAAATATATGATCACGATAATGATACTATTTATGAAGGAGCACATGCAACATGTTTTAATAGCAAGCGACGAACTTTTCTCTACTTCAATATTACCATGAATTTTAAAACGGAATATCTTTGTACTGCATCCTTCGATTTCGATAAAATTGATAAGGTAACAAGACCAAATGTTTATCAGTTGATTAAAATAAATACTGTTAGAGTTGTTAATCTTCAGCAAGAGATAGCATAAGTTTACCATGTTAAGTTGGATATTGTGAACACTTCCCTATTCCTCAATTTTTAGTGGTGTCATAGATATTACATCGCCACAAAATTTACTACAGATACGCCAAAGAGTCTGGGCCTTGTACTAAACAAATTCTCCAGACTCGTGATTACACTCACTGCTAACAATATCACGTGACGTGTACGCAAACTCGCGCGCTAAAATGCGCGCATTCAGAAGCATATAATGATTCCTCAAAATGGAAACATTTTCTAGATGTCTGATTTCCCCAAAATTACCGGGAAACTGGTTTATTATGTTCTTTATCAGTTTATATATGCTGTAAAAGTGTTTAAACCAATCGAGAAGGGGTGGGGAGCAAAATTTGCCATAAAATCAAAATTTCATAAATTTGCCAGCAAGCTCAGTGTGCTATTAGAGTTATATCAAACTTTGTTATTAAAGTTTTTAGGATCTATTAGAAATAACTATCTCCATTTTCAAATTCCAATTAAAAGTTAATTGGAGCAAAAAAAAGGGTATTCGGAGACTGAAAATGGCCTTTTGTAAAATGGAAACATTTTTTGGAAACAACCTAATTTTGCCCAAAAAGGTTTCTGATGAGGTTATCTAGGGTCCTGATAGGTCAGGGAAGACATTTCCAGTTAATTGAAGCCATCACAGATACTCGGAGCTGAGGCCGAAAATGGCCCAAATAGGCCTTTTGGGGTGTTTTCCAATTTGAGCCAATTAAAGCCAGATTTTCGGCTTTGATTGGTCGGAACAGGTCCAAATTGTACCGGGTGAGTTGCATAGTAATAGGACACATCTTATTTATCGTAGAAAACCGGGGTTCCAAGTTCAAAAATAATTTAAAAAGATTTTGTAAAAAAATGGAAACATTTGAGAATCCATCATGGGAATTTTTTGGAAACATCCGAATTTTGCCGTAAACGGTCTCTGATTAGGTTTTTTGATGTCTTGGTAGGTCAGGGAAGACAATTCCAGTTAAAAAGGGCCATCAAGAAAATTTGGAGGCTGGACATGGCCCTAAAAAAGGCCTTTTGGGGTGATTTCAAATTTGAGCCGATTAAAGCCAGATTTTCGGCTTTAATTGGTCGGAACAGGTCCAAATTGTACCGGGAGAGTTGCATAGTAATAGGACACATCTTATTTATCGTAGAAAACCGGGGTTCCAAGTTCAAAAATAATTTTAAAAGATTTTGTAAAAAAATGGAAACATTTGAGAATCCATGGGAATTTTTTGGAAACATCCGAATTTTGCCCTAAACGGTCTCTGAATAGGTTTATTAGTGTCTTGGTAGGTCAGGGAAGACAATTCCAGTTAATAGGGGCCATCAAGAAAATTTGGAGGCCGGACATGGCCCTAAAAAAGGCCTTTTTTAGGGCCATTTCCGGCCTCCGAGTTTTCATGGTGGCCCCTATTAACTGGAAACGTCCTCCCTTACCTACCAGGACACCAACAAACCTCATCGGAGACTGTTTAGGGCACAATTCGGATGTTTCCAAAAAATTCCCATGGATTATCAAATGTTTCCATTTTTTTACAAAATCTTTTAAAATTATTTTTGAACTTGGAACCTCGGTTTTCTACGATAAATAAGATGTGTCCAACCTCTAAGCAACTCACCCAGTACAATTTGAACCTGTTCCAACCAATTAAAGTCGAAAATCTGGCTTTAATTGGCTCAAATTGGAAAACACCCCAAAAAGGCCTTTTTTAGGGCCATTTCCGGCCTCCGAGTTTTCATGGTGGCCCCTATTAACTGGAAACGTCCTCCCTCACCTACCAGGACACCAACAAACCTCATCGGAGACTGTTTAGGGCACAATTCGGATGTTTTCAATAAATTCCCATGGATTATCAAATGTTTCCATTTTTTTACAAAATCTTTTCAAGTCATTTCGGACCTTGGAAACTCGACTTTCTGCAATCGACCAGATGTGTCCAACCTCTAAGCAACTCACCCAGTACAATTTGAACCTGTTCCAACCAATTAAAGCCGAAAATCTGGCTTTAATTGGCTCAAATTTGAAATCACCCCAAAAGGCCTTCTTTAGGGCCATGTCCGGCCTCCAAATTTTCTTGATGGCCCCTATTAACTGGAATTGTCTTCCCTGACCTACCAAGACACTAAAAAACCTAATCAGAGACCGTTTAGGGCAAAATTCGGATGTTTCCAAAAAATTCCCATGGATTATCAAATGTTTCCATTTTTTTACAAAATCTTTTAAAATTATTTTTGAACTTGGAACCTCGGTTTTCTACGATAAATAAGATGTGTCCAACCTCTAAGCAACTCACCCAGTACAATTTGAACCTGTTCCAACCAATTAAAGTCGAAAATCTGGCTTTAATTGGCTCAAATTGGAAAACACCCCAAAAAGGCCTTTTTTAGGGCCATTTCCGGCCTCCGAGTTTTCATGGTGGCCCCTATTAACTGGAAACGTCCTCCCTCACCTACCAGGACACCAACAAACCTCATCGGAGACTGTTTAGGGCACAATTCGGATGTTTTCAAAAAATTCCCATGGATTATCAAATGTTTCCATTTTTTTACAAAATCTTTTCAAGTCATTTCGGACCTTGGAAACTCGATTTTCTGCAATCCACCAGATGTGTCCAACTTCTAAGCAACTCACCCAGTACAATTTGAACCTGTTCCAACCAATTAAAGCCGAAAATCTGGCTTTAATTGGCTCAACTTGGAAAACACCCCAAAAAGGCCTTTTTTAGGGCCATTTCCGGCCTCCGAGTTTTCATGGTGGCCCCTATTAACTGGAAACGTCCTCCCTCACCTACCAGGACACCAACAAACCTCATCGGAGACTGTTTAGGGCACAATTCGGATGTTTCCAAAAAATTCCCATGGATTATCAAATGTTTCCATTTTTTAACAAAATCTTTTCAAGTCATTTCGGACCTTGGAAACTCGATTTTCTGCAATACACCAGATGTGTCCAACCTCTAAGCAACTCACCCAGTACAATTCCAACGATTTCCGGTAAAACATTTTAGAAAAATGTTTTGGCAAAAATTTGCCTCCCCCCCCCCCTTTTTTTGGCCCGATAGTGCTTATGAAAGGTTTACCTTATCGGACCTTATTTGGACGGACATTACTTGAACGCTGGAGGCCCTAGCGTTCATCTTAATGTCCGTTCAAATAAAGTCCGTTCAATTAATGTCCGTCCAAGTTAAAGTCCGTTGAAATTTTTTCAAAAATTTTTCCATTTCGAACTTTTTGTCCAGAATATGACAATTTTTTAATTTCAGTCAATTTCAATAGCTATCATTAAACTAAACTATATCGTTGAATCAATAAAAACAAGGTATTATAAAATTATAACATTTAAAAATCATTTGCTAAAATTAAAAAACGTCAAAAAAAGGATGGAAAAAAATTGATTGCCTTCTAGCGTTCATATTAATGTCCGTTCATAATTATGTCCGTTCAAGTAATATCCGTCCAAATAAGGTCCGATAAGGTATGTACAATTTTATTACCTATAAAACATTTTGAAACCATATACAGCTAATTTAAGTGGATAAATGTCAATAATACCCAATTCCCCTCCAATTCCCATGAAATTCCCATGGAAACAATGTTTCCAAAATGTTTCCAAATATGAGGAATCATAATATCTTCAGAAGTGACGAAAACATATGTCACCCCACTGTACACTCGACTGTCACGTGACTTTTTCGACCCGTTCTCTAGCTGGTCCTGAACGACTATTCGAAACCCAAACCCTCTTATCTGATCCCAACCGTAACCCAATGTCATGGGGGTGATTCGGAATCAGCGTCCGAAAATACATCGATTGAAGTTGGATTCAACTGTCGGGGGCCCTTTTAGAACAATCTCGAAGATCGACTGTAGTAGAGTGATTTAGCACGTTCGTGGCCCCGCCGATCCCGCGCCATCTTAGGGGGGGGGGGCGCAAAATCGTCGTTTGAATGTGGGACAATTTTGAACAACTTAACTATGGTACTAGCAAAACTTCGCGTTTTGCTATAGAAGTAGAAACACACTTTTTAAAAGATTTTACAGGCGTATTCTCTAAAATCATCTAATTTGTCCAGAGTAGAGTAGGGAGGGGCGCCAAAATGGGAGTGGGCGCCAACAGGCAACGTTACGCCACTGAGTTCAGCTACCAAGCCAGTCAACTCTTAAGCTCTTAAGGGGGGGGGGGGGGGGGGGGGGGGCGCCAATGCAAGCTAACTCCGGGACCCCCTCGAAAGTTCAGTCACTGGTCCTAGTTTGTTGGTCAACTACTATCTCGAAATCATGTTTCACAAAAAAATACCCATTGGCCCTCCCCCCCCCCCCCCCCCCCCCCTCCCCCCCCCCCCCCCCCCTTAAGTCTGGACTCTGACCAAACCTGCATTTATTCCGATCTTTTCTATTGAATATTCCTCTTCATTTAGCCTTTACACTAAGCCTACTACTACTTACTACTACTACTACTTCTCGCAGGAAGTGCTGTTCGTCTGATGATGAGTTTGGACAGGAAGATAAGAGGAGAAGCTGCTTGCGAAAGTGATGGGGAAAACGAACTGAAACAAGTCACTGAGTAAGTCAGTCATATTTGGGTAAACTTGTTGAGTAATCACTAATCATCCTGCCCGACGCGGGAAGACTGGAAAGTGTTTACGGTTTGGTGTATATATATTATTGTCACAGTACTTTATTACTTTTCTTTTTCAGAGTGACCAAAGCATCATTCGTGCTGGGAGTTTTCAACGCTTTGATCCTCACGGGAAAGATTCCTCTCACAGCTGCTGAGGGTGTGTTCTTTGGTGCTCTGTTCATGGTCGCTCTTCTCCTCAACGATATTCTCCTCGGCCGAACTTCCCCCTTCATTCCTATTCAGGTATTTTGAACTGATGGCGTATAATTGTTTTGTTATTTCGTGTTATTTGGTACTTTTGTGAAATGTTTCTGTCAAAGCTGCAATGAACAACTTTACGTTTAAGGAATAAGCAGTGATATTTTTCAGAAAGTATACTGTCTTTGAAAACAAACTTTTTCAGGGTGCGTTTTGGAAAGTGGTTTGCTCGAAGCATCAAAAGGTGGAATAAAGCGCTCGCCTCAGAAGATTGAGGACAATATATATTTATTATCGTATTCATATACAACCCTTATCTTTATTAGGTACTGAAGATGTCCGAAAATGTTTTACCAATGATGTTATAAAGATTTTGTTGGAATTTTTAAACTCATTCGTTGTCTGACTGTGGGAACTATTGATTCTTGATATTCATATACAATATACATTATACAGCATGAAAACTTGGTATGGCTGCTACTCCTGTTCACATATTACGTAATCACTTTTTGGACAATTTTTAACCCCCCTCCGTAATCAGTTTTACACATAGCTATTGTGTCAAAATTACATTATCGTAATTATTTGGAACCCCCCCCCCCCCCCCCCTCGGCTGATTACGTAATATGTGAAGTGTGGACAGTATACTATACTTGAAGGATTAAGATACAATTATTTTTTGGGCAACAAACAACATTACTTTAATAATGCAATTTTTCAAATTATGTACCAATTGTGCTTGAATTTTGTTTATGATGAAGAATTATGTTTCGATGGGTATGAAGTAAAAGTTTATTTTTTGAAAAATTATTAAATTTAAATCTAGAATTATTTTGTATGTAATTATATAAATACTGTGTAATTATAAATTATACCTGAACTGCTTCAATAACATACTTGTTATATAAAGATTATAGGTTACAGTTTAACATTTATATAAATTATTATTTTACGAATAATGTTCAATTTTAGTCAACATCCAGCCTATGTATGTTTTGTATCACGTTGCGACCCCCACGGTCGTTTCACTATCGTCCTGACGATGCAGGGGGAGCCGCGCACTTCGTGCGTGGCGGGTCATACAACGTATGACAATGTATGTTGTGATAGGCGATAGCACAGTGACAAATTCATGGGCTTGATGTTGGGCTAGTGAGCTAGATTATATTTATGATAGTTTTTATTAAATTAAATCACTTAATATCTACGTGTTCTATTGATTCTGTTTTATTCAAGACTGCTGTATGTACTTTAATTTTTTTCCTGTCAATTTTGTTTCTAAATTTTGACTTTGGGCCAAAAAAACCTCATTTTTAACGAGCGTGGGTAATTTGAATCTCGATGTCGGGATTCAATACTTAACAGCAGGTGCATGAATCCCAACTAGTAATACTACTACTATGTTGTCACTACAAATAGTAATTTAATCACCAATTTAATGGAATAATATCTGTAGGCTGCCTTAATTTGTGTATTTAAATCAACAAATGAAACCCATGAATTCACATTCCAATCAATCGTAAACATTTAAAGAAATACAAAGTCCTGTTATCTTAAAATTCAAGTCACAAGATTGGTACACAGTACTCTATCTAAAACTATAGTCTACAGCCATTTGCTGTGCTCGAATCACATTGATATAAAAATGAGTGGACCAACTGGTTAGGGTTAGTTAACTCTCCATACTTATTATCCAGTTCCGTGAATGAATTTCAAAATAACAAAAATAAAACATTGTTATTAAATTATTCAAAAGATCTTTCGAGCATCGCCGTAGTTTGAGCATTGAGTTATTGCTAAAAGTCGTTCTATCTTTGTATATAAAAGTAATTACAATTCAAAAAGACATGAATGAAAGACGCGCACATTACATGTTGCCACTCCTTTAGTTACCACTATAACTTCAGCCCCCCCCCCCCCCCCCCCCCCCCCCCCCCCCCCCCCCCCTTAACTTTCGTCGCATTGTAATATTGGAGTCATTATGTGGCTAAAACGATTTTAAAATCCTGATAAGAATGCCTCAAAACATTAATTAAAGTAAAAATATGAAATTGAGATAAAAGAAGGGAAGTAGTGGGATGAATCAATCAAACAATTTTAAACTATAAATTTGCGATGATTGTGAAATTAAAAGCTTGGATGGATATTGGTGTCTGCAGCTGCTGCTGCATCAAATGATGTACACAAAGAAAGTTTACATTGTCAACTGACAATTATTATCTCGTCAAGAGAATTTTCATAAAATCAACATTAAGATTGGGGAAATTCCTCGGTAAATGATGTTGGGAACAGTCCCTCTTTTCCTTTGCACGTTCCTCTTAGCCAATCTTCATTTAAGAATTCAGTAACCTAAAAAAAGGAAAAAGTTTAGAAATGTTTCACTAGCGAGTAAAATAGCTTACTACATTTCAAAAATAGTTTTCTACATTTCAAAAATGCAACATTTCTGTGGTATGACTGTTGCAGCAAAATTATTAAATCTGCACCATTTGGACTTAAGCTTCAAAATGTTAAGCTGTTAAAATTTAAAATAGAAGGTTAAATAAACAGTGAACTTACTTTTATTATGTCTCCTAGTTCGAAATCTAATTCATCATCGTTGACAGAGGTAAATTCGTATAACGCTCTTCTATTATTGCCTGGGGGGAGATGATTTAAAATTGACAAAATTACGATTTTTTGCGGTTGAGACCCTTGAAAATCAAACCCCTCTTCTCTCTTTTAAAGTTATATTTAAGAAGTACAGAGAGCCTGCTTACTCAAAATGACGAAATCATTCCTTTTATATCAATAACATTCATTGATCAAAATGATATTGTAATTTGACCAATTCCAGAAGTAAAGCAGCAACGAAAATAGCCTATTTTCTAAAGAATATTCTAATACCCTGTAAAAATAGTTCAATTAATGTTAAACTGTAAGTTACCTGATTTAACGGACGGTTCAGTAGTAGGAGTAGAAGGGGAAGGTGTCTCTACAACCCCAACATTACCCCCAAACAGGTCCGCAGTAAAAGGGTTATCAGCATGGACTAAAGTTTGATCCAAATCCTCTTGAGTGGGGGGAGGCGGTAGATCGCCAGTCAAGCTCTCTTGAGTCGGGGGTGAAGCCCCGATGCCAAACTCTTGAGTCGGGGGTGTAGCTCCGATGCCAAACTCTTGAGCGAAGGGATTGCACTCGCTGAACCCTATACCAAGTGGTGCTGGAGTAACTTCTGTTTCTTTAGGCTCTTCGATGGGTTTTATAGTGTCCTGACGCTCTAGAACCAGTCTATCAGTTGCAGCTGGTGGAGACAATAGAATTGAGAGATATTTTTAAAATATACAATTACAATAAAACAAATGTGAAATTGTATCCAACCTTCCAGTAATCATTTAACTCATTCAACTTTCAGCCAAAGACGAACACTTTCTAATTCTGATGGAAATGAAAATAGAAAAAATTTTCTTTGCTCATAGTATCAGTAGAATATTTGTTACTAACCTGGATTTCCGATAATATCAGGCTCAGGTGTAGTATCGAGCCACTTCACAAAGTTAACTGGTAGAATACCGTTATTACCGTTACATTCCCCCTCTAACCACAGGTCGTTTAGTCGCGCTGTTATTTTCACTATGTCTCCCGTGTTTACACTCATTTCGAAACCATTCTCTGCTTTAAAGTCAGCTATAATCTGCGAATAGTAATGATTACAATTATATCTAAAAACCAGAATGTTTCATGATCGAATTATTGTGAAATATCCGTTTTGGTTTTGTTCGCTGGTAGGCAGGACTAAAGCTGAAAATGTTCAAGTTACCGCTCGCGCTCTGTAAAAAGAAATTATAAGTATTACCTCGACTCTGCCCAGATCAGAGCTGGGTTCTGCAGAGTAACTTCTTGAATCGCTTATCTCTGACATTGTGTCCTTGTGATCGTCACTGCTACTGCTACTGCTACTGCTACTACTCTCCTCGGTAGTCTCTGAGATGAAATTGTTACTGTCATGAAGATGTGACTAGGTGAGACCGAGCTAATAGCCGTTACCAGTGCGCGGCTCTACTTGCAAACTACAGGTAAGTAGACCCCCCCCGCCCCCCGCACTGGTCACACCTATTAGAATTAGGTCGGTCTCACCTAGTTACATCTTCATGACAGTGAAACACAAGCAAATAATCTAAAATGGATATAATTTTCGTCATTCGTGTTTTTAAACTCTGAGAACAAACTTAAGGTGTATGGTTTGGCTCACCAAAGTTTTCAGTGAAAGTTTCAGAGTCTTCGGGAATATTCCAGTGGTCAGGAATAGCTGGAACAAAACAAGCGGGAAATATTCCTTCTTTGCCTTCAAATCTCCCTGATGAAAAAACAGTTAACAAACATTAAATATTCACTTAGTAATCCACTACTGACTTATGAGCACTGACTATGACAGTGAATATCTATTAGAAGATAAATTGTCCGCCAAAAATAGTTCGCTATTTCTAGACCAAATAATTTGAGGACAACATGACACTCCAAAACTTTGATCATAACATATGGACAGAACTGAACAAGAACACAAACTAATTCAAAGAATGAGGAAACAGGAGGACTCTGCAACCCAGGAATCAACAACTCAGTCACCATCGCTCAATAATTGGTTTGGTAATTGGTATCGACGTTACATACTATGTTTCCCCGAATTTTATTTATTTATTTTTTAATATTGTTTTTTATCTATATGTATATTGGGTATATTATACTTTTTTTCTTTTCCTCTTTTAAACCATTCCAGTACATTGTGCAGAAAGTTGGAGATTGAAAATTTTGGGGGGTAGGAAGCTCAATCTTCTCAATCTCAATTTTGGAAAAATCGTGTTTCAGAATTGAGAAAATTGAGAAAATTGAGAAAATTGAAAAATGGACATCTTTATCTCTCCAAGTAACTAAATCATACACGAGCTAAATGTATGATGAAAACATGTTTCAAACTTATTACTGTGAAATGATTAATTATCTTATATTTGAGTTTGATCCTTTTGAACAGCTGCTGAGCAATAAAACGCATGCATAATATTAAATAGTAGAAATGATTAGGTAAAATATGATCAAAGTAATCATCACGTGAACGACCCATGGTTTTGCTAAAGGGGACAGATATGATTGTTAGTAGGTAATGTATAAGGGGGAGATAACATTTTTTTTGTTTTTTGTTTTTTTCAAAAATTTACTTTAACCATAACAGAAAAAACAAAAAATTCATTTTGAGCTATTTCGAAGGAAATAGTAACTAGTAAAGGTTGAGACTAGCTAGAGGTCTGTGGTCACCGATGGAGATGGCATTTTTTGATATTAGGGTTTTACAGCCCGGAGCCAAATCCAACACTAATCAAGACACCCCAGAAAAGTTGTACAATAAACATGAGAGAGAGAAAGAAAGGAAATATGGAGACCGCTGTGTAAAGATTGAAAAAGGAACCTGCAATGGTCTTGTATTCTCTACCAACGGAGGTATGAGCCCACAGGCTACCATGTTCCTTAAAAGAGTAGCAACACTTCTGGCAGCCAAGACCAGCCGGGACAAAAGCCTCATCATGGCGAATCTAAGACGTCGTTTGAGGTTTGAGCTACTTAAAACAGTTTTGATAGCAGTGAGAGGACACAGAGGACGGTATTATGAGAAAGCAATACCTGTTGACGAACTCGACCTCAATCTTGCACACACCACCAATGATGAAGACTGGGGTGATGATGTTGATGAGGAAGATGAGGAAGATGATGAAGTTGAGAATGAGGTTGAGAATGTAGAGGGAGAGCTTTTAGAAGAGTGAGCTGAATAGAAGACAAGATTCTATTCCATTTTATTGATTATTATATTTATTGAAATAAAGATGTAATATCCATTACTCCAGGAGTGATGACAAGATATATAAAAAAGTAAAGGTTGAGACAGCCCTGTTACACAAATATATCATTAATATAATTTTCAGAGAGATTTCAGGGCTCATGTTTGTTTTTGTCCGTTCGATTTTGTCCGTTTTTAGAAAATGAGGAGGAGGAGTACTGAGAAGGAAGACGGCACTGAGGAGGACTGAGGAGGACTGAGGAGGAGGAAGACTGAGGAGGAGGAGGAGGTGGAAGTGGAGGAGGACTGAGTAGGAAGAAGAGGAGGAGGACAATGAGGACTGTGGAGAAGGAGGACTGAGGAGAAGGAAGAGGAGGAGGAGGACTGAGGAGAAGGGGGAGGACTGAGGAGGATGAGGACTGGGGAGGAGGAGGACTGAGGAGGACCGAGTATAAGTAGTAGGATGAGGATTGAGGAGGAGGAAGAGGAGGAAGAGGACAGAGGAAGAGTAGAACTGACAATGTGTCTTACATACAAGGACTGAGGAGGAGGAGGACTAAAGAAGAGGAGGACCGAGGAAGAGGTGGAGGAGGAGGACTGAGGAGAAGGGGGAGGACTGAGGAGGAGGAAGATGAGTAGGAGGACTGAAGAGGGGGAGGAGGAGGACTGAGAAAGACTGAGGGTGAGGATTGAGGAGGAGGAGGAGGAAGAGGAAGAGAAGGGAGAGAACTGAAGAAGAGTAGAACTGAGAATGTGTCGCACATACAAGGACAGAGGAGGAGGAGGACAGAAGAAGAGGAGGACCATGGAATAGATTGAGGAGGAGGAGGCCTGGGGAGGAGGAGGATGAATAGGAAGAGGAGGAGGATGAGTAGGAGGACCGAAGAGGGGGAGGAGGAGGAGGAGGACTGAGAAAGACTGAGGAGGAGGATGAGGATTGAGGCCTGAGGAGGAGAAGGAGGAAGAGAAGGGGAAGAACTGAAGAAGAGTAGAACCGAGAATGTGCCGTACATACAATAACTGAGGAGGAAGAGGATGACTGAGGAAGAGGAGGACTGAGTAAGAGGTAAAGGAGGAGGAGAACTGGTGAGGAGGAGGATGAAGAGGAAGAGGAGGAGGATGAGTAGGAGGACCGAAGAGGAGAAGGAGGAGGACTGAGAAAGACTGAGAAAGACTGAGGAGGAGAATGAGGATTGAGGACTGAGGAGGAGAAGGGGGAAGAGAAGGGAGAAAACTGAAGAAGAGTAGAACTGAGAATGTGTCGTACATACAAGGACTGAGGAGGAAGAGGATGACTGAACATGAAGAGGAGGAGGACTGAGGAAGAGGAGGACTGAGGAATAAGTGGAGGAGGAGGAGAACTGGGGAGGAGGAGGATAAAGAGGAAAAGAAGGACGGAATGGAACTGAGGAGGACGAACACTGAGGAGGATCACTAGGACTGAAAAGGAAGAGGACTGAGGAGGAAAAGGAGGAGAAGGAGAATGACTGAGGAGAAGGAGGACTGAGGAGGAAGAGGATGAGGATGGGGAGAAAGGGGACTGAGAATGATGACTGAGGAGGAAGAGGACTGAGGAGGGGGACTGAGGAGGAGGACTTAGGAGGAGGAGGACTGAGAAAGAGGAAGGGGAGGAGGGGAAAGGAGGAAGCATCTACATGTTATTTCCGTAACAGTTTTTGTCCGTTTATGATCATTTACGTCTGTTTCTGTCCGTTTTTGAGGAGGAGGAGGATGAAGGTGGGGATAAGGAGGACTGAGAATGTACTGTACAGTCTTGTGCAAGGACTGAGAAGGACTGAGGAGGAAGAGGATGCGTAGGAGGACTGGAGAGGAGGAGGTTGAGAAGGTCTGAGGAAAAAGATGACTGAGGAGTAGGGGGAAGAGGTAGAGGAGGACTGAGGAGAAGGAGGACTGATAAAGAGGAGGATGAGGAGGAGGATGAGTAGGAGGACTGAGAAGGACGATAAGGAGGAGGAGAAATGAGGAGGAGGAGAAATGAGGAGGAGGAGGAGGAGGAGGAGGAGGTGGAGGAGGAGGACTGAGGAGGAGGGGGAAGAGGTTGAGGAGGACTGAGGAGGAGGAGGACTGATAAAGAGGAGGATGAGGAGGAGGATGAGTAGGAGGACTGAGAAGGACGATAAGGAGGAGGAGAAATGAGGAGGCGGAGGAGGACGAGGACGAGGAGGAGAAGGAGGAGGAGGAGGAGGAGGAGGGATGGAGGATCTAAATGTTATTATCGTAACAGTTTTTGTCCGTTTTAGTCCGTTTTGATGAGGATGGGGAGAAGGAGGACTGAGAAGGTATTGTACATGTGATGACTGAGGAGGACTGAGGGGAGGAGGATGCGTAGGACTGAAGAGGAGGAGGTTGAAGAGGACTGTGAAGAGAAGGACTGAGGAGGATGGGGAGAAGGAGGAGGAGGAGGAGGATGAGGAGGAAAATGAGAAGGAGGAAGTCGATTTACGTCCGTTTCTGTCCGTTTTTTGAGGAGGAAGAGGAGGATGAGGGTGGGGAGAAGGAAGACTGAGAATGTACTGTACATGCGAGGACTGAGAAGGAAGAGGAAAAGTAGGAGGACTGGAGAGGAGGAGGTTGAGAAGGTCTGAGGAAAAGAAGGACTGAGGAGGAAGGGGAAGAGGTTGAGGAGGACTGATAAAGAGGAGGATGGGGAGGAGGATGAGTAGGAGGACTGAGAAGGATGATAAGGAGGAGAAGAACTGAGGAGGAGGAGGAGGAGGAGGAGGAGGAGGAGGAGGAGGGGGGGAAAGGAGGATTTAAATGTTATTATCGCAACAGTTTTTGTCCGTTTTTGATGAGGATGGGGAGAAGGAGGACTGAGAAGGTATCGTACATGTGATGACTGAGGAGGACTGAGAGGAGGAGGATGATTAGGAGGACTGAAGAGGAGGAGGTTGAGGAGGACTGTGAAGAGAAGGACTGAGAAGGATAAGGAGGAGGAGGTTGAGGAGGACTCATTCCTCAGTCCTCCTCATCCTCCTCCCTACTGAGGATGAGGAGGACTGAGGAGGAGGACTAAAGAGGAGGAGGAGGAGGGGAAGGAGGAGACGGAGGAGGGGGAGGAGGGGAGAAGGAGGAGGAGGAAGCATCTAAATGATATGTCCGTAAGGAGGAGGACTGGTTAAGATGAAGAGGGCTGATAAAGAGGAGGATGAGGAGGAGGATGAGTAGGAGGACTGAGAAGGACGATAAGGAGGAGGAGAAATGAGGAGGAGGAGGAGGAGGAAGAGGAGGAGGAGGAGGAGGAGGAGGAGGAGGAGGAGGCGGAATGAGAAAGAGGAGGATGATGAGTAGGAAGACTGAGTAGGGTGAGAAGGACTCAAGAGGAATCAAGAGAAGGAGGAGGAGGAGGAAGAGAAGGAGGAAGAGGAGGATGAGAAGGACTTGGAGGGCAAGAGGACCAAGGAGAAGGAGGAGGCGGACTGAGAAAGTGGAGTATGAGTAGGAAGACTGAGGAGGATAAGGAGGGGAGGAGAAGGAGGACTAAGGAGGAGGAGGAGGGGGACTGAGAAAGAGGAGGATGAGGGGGAGGATGAGTAGGAGGACTAAGGAGGGTAAGAAGGAGGAGGAGAAAGCATTTAAATGTTATTTCCGTGACAGTTTTTGTCCGTTTATCTCCGTTTTTGTCCGTTCTAATTTGTGTCTGTTTTGAAAATATAGGGTACCATATTTTCAAAACACTTTTACCATAACTTATATATAAATTGTCTCCTTCATCCCCATTTTGAGAGAAGTGAGAAACTGAAAGGTACAAATTGTAAGCACGCCTAACAATAACGTATATAATCGGATCAGGAATTGAAATCAAAACAAAAAGTTGAAATTTTCTTTTTGGATTGCATCTACCAGATCCATCTGGTCTTACAGTGTCTAAGTACTGAATTTTATTAAGTTTTTTGATCATGGTTGCTACCAGAGTCAATTTTATCATCTATAATGTCCTAGTAACAGCGATACATACAGATTATTGTACTCCTGTATACGTAATTTTAACAGTAATCGGAACATTATGGACTGATCAGTGAACTGAGTTAAACGGAAAAATGATTTTAAAAGATTTTAAATTTTTTCAATTTTCTCAATTTTCTCAATCTCAATTTCGGAAAAATCATGTTTCAGAATTGAGATTGAGCTTCCTACCCCCCAAATTTTGGAAGCATGCAAGGATACCGATCTGATATCGATTGTAAATAATAAAAATACTCTAGCACGATTGTAACTACAGTATTACAGAACTCCAAATGCTTAATGAACACTCTTGCAGGTACCACCCGTATTCATGTACTCAAAATTGAGTTTCGTCAGTTTCCGATACGAGATTGGGACGGGTTCTACAAACAAACAAACAAACAGACCAACAGCAACCCAAACACAGCTGATATGTTTAAAAAAGCTGATATTTTACCAAAACCTACCTTTAATCCACTCCACTCCAACAGTACTAATAACTTTAACCATATCACCCGCCGTCAAACTCAACTCATCGTCAGCTCCTGCTTCAAAGTCATAGAACACACCCATTGAATGTGTATCTTCCTCCAATATCTCTTCCAATGCTTCTTCTTCTACTTCTTCGTCTCCAAACGAGGCATATGATCGGGGGAAAATACCAACTTGGTCACCAACTCTTCCCTTGATCCAATCATCGTCTACAAACTCTGGGGATGAAACTAAATAATCTTCAAATAGGCTCAAGATTAATATTGTGGATTTTCATCTTTGATGACACTGCTAGTATGTGACACGTAACACAGTTGTTAATTGTACATTAAGTATGAGACTTACCTACAACTTCGACAGTGCCCCCCTCGATGATAGAAAGCTCGTCAGATTCCTGAGCCTCGAAGGAGTAGATAGCAATGCAGGTGCCAATAGGAGTTAGCTCTGGCTCCGGAGGTGTAGGCTCTGGAACTGGTGCTGGAGATGGAGATGGTTCTGGGGTGGGAGTTCTGGTCGGTTCTGCAGGTTATAGAGTTATAGTGTTATAGAGTTATAGTGTTTCAATCTCTTGTAGCGGTGTACTATTATGATTCATGATTATTTATACAATTTAATAAAAGTAACAGTAACCCGATTAACTTATTTAATTGGATAGTTGATCAATTCCGAACGATAATTCAGAAACCAGTCACCTCAAAACTGTTCAACGAAGAATTTACCAGGTTCAGATGGTATATGAGGTGGGGATTTACCAGGTTCAGATGGTATAGGAGGTGGGGATTTACCAGGTTCAGATGGTATATGAGGTGGGGATTTACCAGGTTCAGATGGTATAGGAGGTGGGATTTGCCAGGTTCAGATGGTATATGAGGTGGGGATTTGCCAGGTTCAGATGGTATAGGTGGGGATTTACCAGGTTCAGATGGTATAGGAGGTGGGATTTACCAGGTTCAGATGGTATATGAGGTGGGGATTTACCAGGTTCAGATGGTATAGGAGGTGGGGATTTACCAGGTTCAGATGGTATATGAGGTGGGGATTTACCAGGTTCAGATGGTATAGGAGGTGGGATTTGCCAGGTTCAGATGGTATATGAGGTGGGGATTTGCCAGGTTCAGATGGTATATGAGGTGGGGATTTACCAGGTTCAGATGGTATAGGAGGTGGGATTTGCCAGGTTCATATGGTATAGGAGGTGGGGATTTACCAGGTTCAGATGGTATATGAGGTGGGGATTTGCCAGGTTCAGATGGTATATGAGGTGGGGATTTGCCAGGTTCAGATGGTATATGAGGTGGGGATTTGCCAGGTTCAGATGGTATATGAGGTGGGGATTTGCCAGGTTCAGATGGTATATGAGGTGGGGATTTGCCAGGTTCAGATGGTATATGAGGTGGGGATTTACCAGGTTCAGATGGTATAGGAGGTGGGGATTTACCAAGTTCATATGGTATATGAGGTGGGGATTTGCCAGGTTCAGATGGTATATGAGGTGGGGATTTGCCAGGTTCAGATGGTATATGAGGTGGGGATTTACCAGGTTCATATGGTATAGGAGGTGGGGATTTACCAGGTTCAGATGGTATAAGAGGTGGGGATTTACCAGGTTCAGATAGTATATGAGGTGGGGATTTACCAGGTTCAGATGGTATATGAGGTGGGGATTTGCCAGGTTCAGATGGTATATGAGGTGGGGATTTGCCAGGTTCAGATGGTATATGAGGTGGGGATTTGCCAGGTTCAGATGGTATATGAGGTGGGGATTTGCCAGGTTCAGATGGTATATGAGGTGGGGATTTACCAGGTTCAGATGGTATATGAGGTGGGGATTTGCCAGGTTCATATGGTATAGGAGGTGGGATTTGCCAGGTTCAGATGGTATATGAGGTGGGATTTACCAGGTTCAGATGGTATATGAGGTGAGGATTTACCAGGTTCAGATGGTATATGAGGTGGGATTTGCCAGGTTCAGATGGTATATGAGGTGGGGATTTGCCAGGTTCAGATGGTATATGAGGTGAGGATTTACCAGGTTCACATGGTATATGAGGTGGGGATTTACCAGGTTCAGATGGTATATGAGGTGGGGATTTACCAGGTTCAGATGGTATATGAGGTGGGGATTTGCCAGGTTCAGATGGTATATGAGGTGGGGATTTACCAGGTTCATATGGTATAGGAGGTGGGATTTACCAGGTTCAGATGGTATATGAGGTGGGGATTTGCCAGGTTCAGATGGTATATGAGGTGGGGATTTACCAGGTTCAGATGGTATATGAGGTGGGGATTTACCAGGTTCAGATGGTATAGGAGGTGGGGATTTACCAGGTTCAGATGGTATATGAGGTGGGGATTTGCCAGGTTCAGATGGTATATGAGGTGGAGATTTGCCAGGTTCAGATGGTATATGAGGTGGGGATTTGCCAGGTTCAGATGGTATATGAGGTGGGGATTTGCCAGGTTCAGATGGTATATGAGGTGGAGATTTACCAGGTTCAGATGGTATTTGAGGTGGGGATTTGCCAGGTTCAGATGGTATATGAGGTGGGGATTTGCCAGGTTCAGATGGTATATGAGGTGGGGATTTACCAGGTTCAGATGGTATATGAGGTGGGGATTTGCCAGGTTCATATGGTATAGGAGGTGGGATTTATCAGGTTCAGATGGCATAGGTGGGGATTTACCAGGTTCATATGGCATAGGAGGTGGGGATTTACCAGGTTCAGATGGTATATGAGGTGGGGATTTACCAGGTTCAGATGGTATAGGAGGTGGGGATTTACCAGGTTCAGATGGTATGTGAGGTGGGGATTTACCAGGTTCATATGGTATAGGAGGTTGGATTTACCAGGTTCAGATGGCATAGGTGGGGATTTACCAGGTTCATTTGGCATAGGAGGTGGGGATTTACCAGGTTCAGATGGTATAGGAGGTGGGGATGGTGTGCGAGAATCACCCCAAGCGTTGAACAGATCTTTCTTAGGAGCCGAGTCTTCTTTAGGACCTGCATCAGCAGCAGTGTCTTTAGCATCTGGTATTGGAGACGGAGAGGAGGCAGGGGAAAGAGTCCGAGCTGGGGAGGGGATGGCGGCAGGTGTATCTGATCTGAGAATATATCATGTGATTCAGCGGCAACGATATAAATTGGTTATCGTTAACAGTGTCAAGAGACATTGTGTAGGATTTTTTCAACCATCGGGCGTGTTAATTTACGTATTGTGTTAGATCATTACGGGCAAATGACACATTTCGTAATAATATAAGGAAGTGGACGGGTAACAAATTTTATTTGTGTGGGTGGATAAAATACGAGTAGCGCGCACTGGTTTCTAGATGAGTGCGCGTTATAATTGGTCTGAAAGCGCGGCTTTAATCAGAACAAATTAAAAAGGCGATCGCGTTTGCCGCTAATGTAATCACATAATATCGGTTTATCAGTAGATGAATCCGAGTTCGTGGAAACATTTGTGACAGGATTAAAAACATATTTTTGGCTGTATATGTCCGTAAACTGAGTTGGATTTGCCCTGGTATGATACAGTGTCATGAGTACTAACATTTTAAGCCTCTGTGAATTATTTCCCTGATTCAGGAATGAATGAAATGAACAAAAATGAACATTGTCTCAAAATGCCTTGGACTGAGCCGAAACCGATCGGGATCGATTGGTAATGCTACCAGAAGTGTCCTGACAAGTTTGGTGGGTCTAGTATGTTAAAAAAGGGGTTGGGGCCAATGTTTTTTTTTGGGGGTTTTGTTAAAGTCGTGGAAAATTTGTCCCTTTTTGGAAAATTTTTTTTGGGTGTTTTGGGCCCGTAAAACTGATTTGGGTTTTGCCCTGGTTGATAAAAGGGGCATGAGTACTTATATTTGCCTCTTTTTGAAAAAATTTCCCGGTTTTCAGGGGAATGAAGGGAAATGAACACAAAAATAAACCAACCCCAGTTCGCCAAAAATGAGCAAAACCGTTGGGGCCCCGTTTGGTTGGAATGCAGTGGGTTTCGGGAAGGGTGGTCCGATGTGCTAAATTGAGCTTTTTTGGCTCCTTTTAAATTGGGCCCAAATTTACAACGCCCCCAACGTATTACCCAATATAAGGCCGGAAATCAAGAAATTTGGAGCTTGGGGGACGTAAAAAAATTTAAACTGTCGGCATCCGACCCGTTAGAATTGATCAGGGTTGAGGATTAACAAAATAAAGGTCCGTGTGGACCGATGTCACGTGCCCTCAGTTATCCTTTTTATGGCCCCAAGGAGCTGAAATTGTCAGCTTTAATTGGGCCCTTGAATCATTGACGGGTTTTTAAAATTTCCCCAAAATTTTAAAATGAACGTTTATCTCCTTTTCCCCCCCGAATGATGAGCGGAAATAAAATTGTTTCCCGGAATAAACCCCAAAGAAGGGCAAAATCTTCCACCCTTTACCCCCAAATTTTTTCCCAAATTGGCCAAAAAGGGTTTTCCACGAGCTAAAACTCCAGGGAAATTTATTTCGAATTTCCCTAAGTGGTTAAAAAATGATAGTAAATGTCCCTTTACCATGCCAGATCGTTTCCCAAGAGTCCAGGGCCAAAATTACGGTCCCAAGGGAGTTTCCAAATGGGTTTCCCCAAATGTTTCCACGATTAAATACTCTAAAATTTCCAAAATGGAAAACATTGCCCAAAATCCCTTTTTAACATGTTAAAACCCACCAAATTGTAGGGACACTTCTGGTATATTACAACGCCCCCTTCGGTTTAGTTCTTTCAGGCGTTTTAGGATAATTTTCCTTTTTTTGTTCTTTTTCTTTTCCTTCCATGAACCAGGGCAATATTTCGCACTTGTGGTTAAAAAAGTAGTAAATGCCCCTTACATGCAAATCGATTCCAAGCCCGCCCCCCCCAAAAAACGGCTCCCAAGGGGCCCCTTTTTCCCAAAAATCGGTAACAAAGTTTCCCCGTCCCCAACTACTCTAAAATAAAAAAGGGAAATTCCCCCCCGAGCCCTTTTTAACATGCTAACCCCCCAAACTTGTCGGGACACTTCTGGTTTCCCCCCAAATCCCCCCAATGGGTTTAAGCATTTCAGGGGATTCTAGGATAATTTTCCCTTTTTTGTTCATTTGTTCTTTCCAAAAACCAGGGCAATATTTCGATTCAAAGGTTTAGAATGTTTGAAACCCCTGCCTCTACCATGCCAAAATCGTTCCAAGTCAGTCCAGGCAAAATTCCGGCTAAAAGGGCTTTTCCAAATCGGTCAAAAAATTTTTCCACAAACTAAAATATTGAAACAAATTGGAAAAATTGCCCCGGGCCCCCTTTTTAAAATCCCTTAGCCCCACCAAACTTGTCAGGGACACTTTGGTTCTTTCCCCAATGCCCCCAATCGGTTTCAGCCCCTTTTCAGGGATTCAGGATAAGTTATTTTTGGGTTAAATTTCTTTTTTTTCCCAAGGCCCGGGGCCCTTTATTTCGTTTCTTCTGACTGGTTAGAAATGATAGTAAAGGGCCCCCTACCATGCCGGACCCGTTTAAAGCCCGCCCGGGGCAAAATTGGCTAAAGGGAAATTTTTCCCAAAATCGGCCCACAATTCTGCCCCCTTTCGGGCCCCAAATTTTTCCCCAACATTTTTCCAAAATCTGGGAAATTCATGCCCCCGGTTTTATATATTGATTGGACGTGTTTTTCCGTTTGAAATCTCTGGGCATTTCGAGATACCCCGCCCGGGCCCGGGGGCCCACTGTACGGGCCCATGTCTCCCAGTAAATATTACTGTAAAAAACCAGTTTTTCCAAAAATAAGCGGGGTTTTCCCTCACCCCCGAACCCAACCCGGGTTCACTCTCGCAGGGGAAACCCAATCAGCGGTGGTGTAAAGGGGCTTAAAAAACGTTAAGAAACCCTTCGAGATCATTTAAAATCTGAAATAATTTTAAAGAAAAACTTTATCAAAACGCATCAATATTTATCATAAACTCCTTCTTGAAAAAAATAAATTTAGGGTTTCTCGGGAAACAAAATTTTTGGAATCCCCCCTACCTCCCCCCCTATCTGAAAAAACCTATCTCCAGAGCCAACCAACCCTTTGCGTTTTCTGAAAAAAGGGGGCATGCGGGTATACCCATGCGCTGCTAGCCCCTGTAGCATTTTCTGAGGGCGGGGTTTGCTAATTTGATTGGGGGAAAATCTTTTTTTTAAACAGAAATTATGTTTCGGGTGACGGGTTTGTCCCGGCAGGGTCCGGGCCCGGGGTTTGGGGTTCCGATCTGCCAATCCTGCACATCCACAGATGTTACCAAATTTCTTTCCCCTCATTTTTAAATTTCCCCAAATTCAATCCCCGGGC